CTTACAACACCTGGTATTCCTAAGAGGTCACCCATCTAGGTACTGATCAGGCTCGATGTTGCTTACCTTCAGTATTTGTGCGTGAACCGATGTTTCAACGTGATATGGCCGTAAGCCATCAACGTAAAGAATTTAAGCAACAATGTTCATGTTAAGTAGCACTTAACATCAGAATGTAAGCAAATGGAATGCTTATATTTACTACTTTGCTTTATCGTAAGTCTCAGTACGTGATCGGACAGAACAGAAAGCAAAATAAGATGGCAACTTATGTTATTCCGATTTTCCATAATTATTTTATGTTTGGAAAATTTTCCCGACGACCATATATTAGCAAGGCCGCCCAGTATATATTTGAAGATTTTTCTGTTAATTCACCCCAAAATAAAAATAAAAAAGAATTCATATTTAAAGAAATTCACACCAAATTCTACCAGAGCGAGGCCATTCCATTGCACTGTTTGGGTTGACCTTTTCGATCGCCCCAAATGTGGGCGACTCGGGTGCGCTTTGTGTAAGGTTAGCTTAGCATTCGCGCTCACCCCGATAAACAAGGCAAACAGATTTTTTTTTCTTTTCTTTTTTAAATTGTAAAAAATTCCTTGTAACTACCTCGAATATTATCCGCACTTACGAAATGTGAGTAACTCCTGGTTTTTTTTTTTTTTTTTGTCATTTTGAATGGTTGGAGTTGTTGCGAGGCAAGATAAACAAATTTTCTTTTAAAATTTATAATTTTAAAAGAATACCAAAAAATTTAATAAAGAAAACCTCCCAAAAAACTTTGATTTAAAATTTATAATTTCTTGGGGTAAATTAATTTTTGGGATAAGTAGCTTCATAATTGAATGCATTTTGGGATGAAGAAAAGCTACTTTATTTGGTAACCCAATAATGATGATAATAATAATAAAAGAAAACTGTCTTATCACGAACATGTATTTTTGAAAACCTCAAAGCGTTACAAGATTGGCCCCCTTTTGGTTGTTTTGCAGGCCCAAATAACCAGAGATGTCAAAATCAGAAAAGTACATAAGTTTTTACACATGGGAAGCGTTTTCACAGGATAATAAAAAAAATCCGAACACGCATAGGAAGTACGAAAGATGTCTTCCAAAAGCTAAGCAAAAGTACGAATAAACGGGAAAGTTTCGTGAGAAACAAACAACTGTGACGTAATATCAATCCTCTTGTATGTCAATTAAATGCTGGACAGTCTCCTCACAAACGAAGAGAAAAAACTGGAGGCAAAAGAAATGTGACTACAGAAGGATGTTGAGAATTCTATGGACGGAGCGCATGAGCAACAAAGAAGTCTTAAGAAAAACTGAAACAAAAAACGATACAATCAGAAAAAGAAAGCTGAAATTTCTCAGATAATAATGAGGAAGGAGAGTTGGACGAATTTGACACCCACAGGACACACCGAAGGCAAAAGGAACATAGGGAATCAGTGGGCCACCTACTTGTGAATGGATGGATGGCGGAACAAGGTTGGGGGGATTTGGCTAAGGGACAAATGTTGCTAACAGTTAGGAGGTTGTGGAGAGTCATGATCGGCTACGTCCTGGCAGAATATGGTAGGTAGACAGACAGACGAAGATAGAACAGTTTTTACTTTTTCTTTTACAGAGTTGTAAATTAAAAACTGAAAAGAATATCCCAAAATATTAAAAAAAAAATTACAGAATGTTTAAAAAAGAAAATTTTGTATAAAAACAAAGTTTTGTAGAATTATCGCTCTAATCTGCGTTAACCCAAAAACTAATTTACAAAAAAAAAAAAAAAAAAATAAATAAAAATAAAAAAAAATACTGTCTTTGAGGAAATAGAAATCAATTGAAACGAGAAACGGGTTAGAAAGGTAATAAGAAAGAGAGGGGAGAGAAGGAGAGAAAGGGGTGAGGTTTTAAACTAAAGATTTTAAGACTGACAGAGTCAGATGAGATAAGGTTGTGAGGGTCGTTGAAGAGGAGGAGAAAGGCGGGATAGTTGCTTCTTTGCAGAATAGCAGGAAGACGGGGACGGACGTGACTTTATATTGATTCTATGAACAAGAACCTGTCCACCCAGCCACCCTTCTGTTCTAAACCTCCCTACATGTTCTCTGGCAAGCAGTCCCTCTATGGCGAAGTTGGGCCGGCCACCAAAACCCGGTGTAAAAGGAAATGAATCTAAAACAATTCAAACAGCCCACTTTCTACTCACTCGTCAACATCTCTCTTTCTCTCTCTCACACACACAAATACGAAGGCCAAATTTTATAAATAGCTGGAGTGGAAGATCTTGAAACAAAGCAAGTAGGCCAATACATTTATTTAATGAAGAGAATAAAGTGAACGGAGGAGCGAGCGAGCAAGAGACCATTCAACCAATCAACGACGTTGCTGCTTCGGTCCTCCTACCCCGCGTCTCTTCTCTGCCCCGCCTTCGATTGCCAAACGAGGAGAAAAAGAGTGTCAGGCAACATTAAACAACTATATATTTTATCTACGTCCTTCTTCCTTCTCCGCCTCGTCCTGAAGGGTCGAATAGCAAAGTCCATGTTTTATTAGATTATATTATTGGCTTATTATTATGGAGGACGGACATTAATTAAATTATTACGTGCCTGCCAATATTAGTTTGCGTGGCATTATCAATGTTGTCTCTGTAGCTTTGTGTGTGTGTGTGTGTGTGTGTGTGTGTGTGTGTGTGTTGGGGGGAAGGGGATAAGTTTTGAGCGAAAAATCAAAAAGTGGTTGGGTCGCAATGTGTAGTAATACTAACATCACAATATAGTGTTGGTTTTGGTAAAAAGAATACCCCCCCCCGAAAAAAACGAAATCTTGGACTAACCGTTTGCTTTTAGTTTTAAGGAAACATTCAGCATTCATTGTTATTACTCTTTCCAGTATTGATGGGTGTTGCCTTCCTAACCTTTTGTTTGAAGTAGTGTGGAATGTCCACATTTTCATTATCATTTCCTTTCTCTTTGTTTGAGTAATTGATTGATTCGGTTTTTTTTTTTGTAGCTTTATGGGTTATTTAACGTCAAAACATTCTGAATTGTAAGAATGTTTTGTTTTATTTTTGCAAGTAAATATTGCATTAATAATTCTTTTGATAGGATGTACGTTGTGGTATAATGGATATCGGCTTAGAATGAGAACTTGGAGAGCCGAGTTCAAATTCCAGGTTTGTTATATTCACTTATGTGCAAGTATACCCTATGAGTCCATGTCTTCTCCCCCAAGCTTGGGTTGAATAGCAGAACAAACTGGATCCTATAGCCTTGGTTGGCAACCAGCCTACTGCAGAAAGAAATGGCAACCTACTGCAGGAAAAATCTTCTACCTAGTCAATTATGAATCGAAAGAGAAATGATCACCCAAATGTATATCATGTATGGCAATTACCTGACTAACTGAAGTTTTGGGATAAAATGATTTTTCCAGATAAGAGTCCTATTTAACCCATAGTTGAGAAGAGAAGAGATAGATTCATACCTTTCCCAAAGGTATTTGCATGTAAGTGACTGTACCAACATGAGGAAGGGTGAGAAGAAATGAACTCATGACTTTTCCCATTAGCATTAGTGCAAAAATGAATGTAAAATACAAGGGTAGAACATTCTGGATTGTAATAATCCGTTTTTTTCTTTTTTTTTTGTGAGTGAATATTGCATTAATAATTTTTTTACACAAAATGATTTTTCCAGATAAAAGCCTGACTATTTAACCCACAGATGGGGAGAGAAGTGATGAATCCATACTTTTCTCCAATTTTTGCTTTCTGTGCTTATAGCTGTTATCTGCCCACATACCATGAATTAGTTTGTATAAAAACACAAAAATAAAATGTATGAAAGATAATGGATTTTGGTAAGAAGCTGAAAGAATGTTTCTGGCCATAGATAAACATGCAGGCTTTGTAGTTTCAGAAGAGTGAATTAATATATTCAAATTCAATGGTGTGTGTGTGTGTGTATATATATATATATATATATATATATATATATATATAGAGAGAGAGAGAGAGAGAGAGAGACAGACAGAGAGTGTGTAACTGAGTAATTAGAACATTCACTTTCTGACCATGAGAGACAGGTTCAAATTTGACCACAGTTCATTTATTAGGAAGGAGACTTCCTCACATTATCAGGCTGGAGGGGGAAAGTGCCTGAAAACCACACCATGGGTTGAGCCAAGCCTTGTGAATGAAATTGGGTAGATGAAACACTTGGAGGTCGTTGATAGCTGTGCAAGCACAAAGTCACAGGTCATCGTGACCGAGGGTTTGAGTGTGCTGGCATTGTTCAAATTGTTGATCATGCTAGATAACACACTCTCTCTCCCAGAAACTGTAATTAAGGTTTGCTCAGCATCGTTGCAGTATAAAGCACAGGTTGGCTCTGTGGGTGTTGAACAAACTGAGCGAGTCTGCAATAGGGATTGGTTAGCTGCTCTAGTAGATGGGTATCTTCGAATATGGGTGGCCAGCTATTATTATTACTAAACACATACTTCAAATGTTATTTTTAGGGGAAATTCATATTTGATAAGGCACTTTGAGTATTTTAAACAGAATTTATTTTGTCTATTGGCCTGTGTACTCAAGAAAGTTTAATAAAGTGCTGTAGCATACCTACGGATGATAATGGGTATGTCCCTATTCACATAAATACAGTAGTAAATACTGTATGTTGGTCTGCAGTTGTAGATTCATTGTGGAATTCACTTGACTCACTTCTAGTAGTTGACTATTACTTGTAACAATAATGAAACAGTCATTAATTAATATCATCATATTTCAGAATCCTGTTTTGAGCTGGGGTTCTCAACCAGAAACAAAGCACCCCTACCCACAAGGGAAATTTCAGGTTTCCTGGGAAGGATCTTTTCTTGCTTTTTATTTATTGAACTTTGTTTATCAAATTGCAATACACTAGCATTCTATTGAAGCACACTTCAGTTTATTTAATAATTATTTATGATTTAAAACAAATTACTTTACATGGATTCAAGTTTAAAAATCCATCAAATTTCTCTATTGCTATTAAATTTGTAAAACTCCTCTATAAAAATAATCTATATATACATACTAATATAGAAAATAATGAAGATTTTCAATAA